TTTTGTATGCTTTTTTTTGGAGCGTGTGTGTGTGCTCTTGATTTTCCTTCCTCTTCCAGAGACTCAAGCGAGTTCGCTGGGCAGGAGAGGGGAAAAAAATAAAAATACAACAAATACACACACGCGCATTTTTTGTAAAGGGAATCCCTCTTTTTCTCCTGGATTTGTGGATGCACCGATGAGAGATCCAGCCTTCCCAGGGACTGCCATGGCTTACCACCCCTTCCACGCACCCCGGCCGGCTGACTTCCCCATGTCCGCTTTCCTCGCAGCCGCCCAGCCGTCCTTTTTCCCGGCTCTGGCTCTGCCTCCGGCGGCGCTGGCGAAGCCCATGCCGGACCCGGGGCTGGCCGGGGCGGCCGAGGCCGGGCTGCACGTCTCGGCCCTGGGACACCACCACCAAGCCGCCCATCTGCGCTCGCTCAAGAGCCTGGAGCCCGAGGAGGAGGTCGAGGACGACCCCAAAGTAACGCTGGAAGCCAAAGAGCTCTGGGACCAGTTTCACAAGCTGGGCACCGAGATGGTGATCACCAAGTCCGGGAGGTAAGAGCCGGCCCCGCGCGGCCCCCACAGCCCGCCCCGCACCTGCGCGGCCGCGCAGCGCCCTCGCCCCTCTCTCCATCCCGCTTCCCATCCGCCCCCGAGAATTAACGCGGGGAGTTTCGATCTCTGGAGTTTTTCGGAGGTGTTTCCCCCCCCACACCTCCTCCGAGCTTTCTCGCCACCCCCCCAATTGCTACTTTTCGGAGCGCGATCCCAAATTAAATTCGTGCGCGTTAATTGAGCGCCCGGAATCCGCCTCTCCCGTTGTTTACGCCGCTTCCCGCCGCTTCCTTCCCTCCTGCCAAACTTTCCCCGCGTCCGGGGTCGTTCCCGGCCCTGGCCCTGGCCCCGGGCCCGGGGGAGGCAGCGGTGGGGCTGCCGGAGTGCTGGGCGAGCGGACCGGGGAGGCCAGAGAAATGGGGTAAAACCAGGATGTGTTTTCGCCTCTCTATTTCCCGGAATGGGATTTTTGAGCTTTTCCCTGCTTTCTGTGAGCTGCAGAGCGGGATGAGAAGCGATGGGACGTGAGGAAGTCTGGGAATCCTCAGCGAACTAAATTAGAAGATGGTGGTTTGGGAGCGGCACCCGGGGCCGGGCGGTGCGGGGGGCTCGGCGGGGCCAGGGGGTGCGGGGGGCTCGGCGGGGCCGCGGCCGTCGGGGGTCGTTTGCGGGCGGGCACAGCCCTGTACTTCTCTGGGTCTCTCCGCAGGAGGATGTTCCCCCCGTTCAAGGTGCGGGTGAGCGGCCTGGACAAGAAGGCCAAGTACATTTTGCTGATGGATATAGTGGCGGCCGACGATTGCCGGTACAAGTTCCACAACTCCCGCTGGATGGTGGCCGGCAAGGCCGACCCGGAGATGCCCAAGCGCATGTACATCCACCCCGACAGCCCGGCCACGGGGGAGCAGTGGATGGCCAAACCTGTTGCCTTTCACAAGCTGAAGCTCACCAACAACATCTCGGACAAGCACGGCTTTGTAAGTGCGGCTGCGGGGCAGAGTGTGGCCCCCGGGCAGGGACCCCGGGCAGGCGCGGGGTTTCCCGGTGCCGGTGCTGCCCGGCCCGAGGAGAACGGCGGGGCTTTAAGGGCTCCTCCAGCCGGGTCGGGCTGGGCGGCGGGGCCTGGCCGGGCCTTGCGGTGATGTGGCTGTCCCGCAGCCACCCAGCCCCTGCTCCTGCCCGGCACGGAGGGGGCAGCTCCTCTTCCCCGGGGGAAAAGGGGGGATTGGGGTGCGGGCAGCCTCGGGATCCGCTTGGCTCCCACATCCGCGGCCTCCACGGCCTGTCCCGCCGCTTCTTCCCGGTCCTCGAGGCTCTGCGGGGACAGGGACTTGGGGCGGTGGATGTGCGGGGCCGAGGCCGTGCGGGGGATGCAGCGAGAGCAGCCCCGACGGGGCGGCGGGGCCGCGGCCGACCAGGGGCTGTCAGCGCTGGTCGGACCGACCCGAACCGGGCCGGGCCGGGGGAATGGAGGCGGTGGCACCTGCGCTGGGTTCCCGCGGCCGAGAGCAGGGCTGGAGTCGTTGGAAGCCTCGGCTCCACACCAGCCGCGTCTAAAAGCCCTTATTTAATTCTCTATTGATCATATCTGCATCACCTAAAGGAGGTAAAACAGAACAAAAAAATACAGCCAAAAAAAACCACCAACCAAAATAAACAAAGAGAGGGAAAAGAGAGAGAAAGGAAAGAAAGAAAGCGCAGCGTGCTGGCCGTTTGCAGAGACCCGCAGAAGGCAGGGTCAGAACGCGAGGGGAGCGCGATCCTGCGGGAATGCACGGAGGGGGAAATCCCAGCGCCCCAACCAGCTCTGTAGCCTCTGGACACGCATTTAGGGCGATAAAGGGAAAGTTCATCGTGCAGCGTTGGTGATACGGTAATTAGTGGGGAGCCGGGGCCGGCGGAGCTGCGGGAGCTGCGGGACCCCGCTCAGGTGGGGAGGGCAGAGCAGCTCCGCACCTCCCGGAGAGCTTTCCTCTCCCTTTTTATTTTTTCCCCCTCCTCTTTTTATTTTTTCCTCTCTCTTTTTTTTTTTTATTTTTTTCTCCTCCTCTCTTTTTATTTTTTCTCTTTAGGCAGGAAACAGCGTCTTTGTTAAATAATACATTGCGAGGTTATTTATAGCCAGCAAGGTAAATCGATAGAGAAGGAGTCTAAAAAATACGGTTTTTTTTGTACTGGTTAAAAACTAGTTTGATTCAGCGTTTTTAACGGTTCGCCTCCTTCAATTAAAGATTTCTGGTATCTGTCGTTGTCCAAAATCCGGACTGTGTTAAATCTGGGAGATGAGGGTTTAGCCAGTGCCCATCTGGTCGGAGAGGGATGATTATTTTTTTTTAAAGGAATGCAGATTTGCACGCCTCAATGAGACTTTTTGCACCATTTTCATGATAAATCCCGTCTAGATTATATCAATATAACAGCGATCCGACAGTTCATCAGCAGGTGATTATTGCTTGGGTTAAGAGGAAAAAAAAAAAAAAGAGGGGATTTTTTTTATTACCTTCTAAACCAAAATGAAGTGATAATTATTTAGCCATTTGGCCGACGTTCTTTGACAATAATTACTCAAGCTTTCGCCGTTCCTCTACCAATTCTGGGCGATGAATTCTGCATTTCAGTCTGACCACAGCAGGTTGGGGAATTATTTAAACGCTATCGGGCAGGAAAACAGGCAGCGAGGGGCAGGGGGTCGGAGCCGCCCCAGGGGCGCGGCTCGGGGAGGGGGGGGATGATTCTGGCGCTTCCGAAAATCCCCGGCCAAATTGCGGGGAACTCGGGTTTTAAAAAAAAAAAAAAAAACAAAAAAAAAAACAACAAACCAAACCGAAAAAATAAAACGAGAGGGTAGAGAACGGCTTTGAGTGTTGGCGAGGCTTTTAGACACCTGACTGGGGGAAAAAAAAAAAAAAGGGGAAAAAAACCCAAAAAAAATTAATTTATTTGAAAGGA